TACCGCACGTCCCCGGCGGCCCGGGGGCTGTTGCGGGCAGGGACTTACTTGGAGCGTGTTTCGGTTCCCACTGTAATCGCCAGTGGCAAAGTGTCCGCGGTCCCACGTAGGGAAGCGGTTACGGCTTCATCTCGTGAGTTACGGGGCACGTTGCGGAAATAGGAAGCCCCGGCCGCTTATCTCTCCGGCCCTTTTAAGTGCTTGTTGGAAAGCTGCAGAAAGGAAGAATCGTAGTGACAGGTCGTGCTGGGGGCGTGTGTGATTCTTGGCTGCAAGCAGATAGGAAACCAAGGCAAGCTTTCCTTGCTGTGTCTTCCTGGCTGTGAGGATCTGAAGTGTAGGGCCTTCTTGGCCCCAGAGTCTCAAGTGAAGCCTAAACTTACTTTCATCCCTACACAAGTGATAAGCAACGTTCCCATAACCAAATTACTTATTTGTAAGCACGTTGGCTGTTAGGGGGGTCTGTACTTAAAATAGTCCTGGCTTTTTTGAGTGAGCTTTATAAGCTGTTTGCTGCTGCTGTCATGGAAATTACGCCAGACCATGCCTTCAAACTTGAATGAGAAAGTTCAAGACCAATAGCTTTTGTGATCTATTGTCTTATTGCTGTTGAAAGTGGCTATCTCACACTTCCTGGTCTCTCAGCTTCTGTATTACATAAAACACTGGTCCATGATTGATCAGAGTAAGAGTCTATTTACACTGTATGCTTTTGGTAAATACCTTGCACTGGCTTTATCTATTTGCTGTCATGAATCAGTAGAGCAGGTAATAAGCCAAACGTGTAATGAAGGCGTAGTTGCTATAAATGTCTTTTCCCTTCTTTAAGTGCATTGTTCCATTCAGACCAGCCGAACCTTGCACCTGACACATAGCTGTGGATTTTTTCACTCTTATTTCTGTGCCACTTCTGTTGTAGTAATAAAATATTCTGTGGACATTGTTTTATAGAGTCACAGAAATGGTGTTTGGAAATGACCTCAGGAGGTCACAGTACAACCTCATGCTTGAAGTGTTGCCAACACTAGATCAGCTCAGATCTAGCTTTGTTTAAGCTAAGTCTTGAAAACAGCCAAGCATGGAGCATCCATCACCTCCCTGGGTGACCTGTTACAGTGCTGCAGTACCCTCTTAAGGCATTTTTTTTTTACTTCAAGTACAGGCTAAGACTTTCAAGCTGCAGTTTGTAGTTTTTCACAACATCCCTGAAAAATATAGCTAAGTTTGAATTATGCCTGTTTTAAGCTAGAATTGTGGCAGAAAGATTTTTTTACTTTGTTTTGTTTTTTTAAAGTCAAGTAAACCAGGTTGCTTGCTGTCTTTTGTAACCAACCTGAGACACTTATGAATTGATGTTTCTTGGATGTCTCTGTATTTTTCTTTCCTCATATAACATGTACAGAACATTTGTCTCCTTAGCCTGAGAATTATCTTTTTGTGAAGTGAGGTGCTTAAGAAATATAAATGTGCTCCACCAGTGGCTAGCTAAACATTTTAGGATAACCTCAACAGGTGTATTATTGCAAAAATCTTTATATAATTAGCCACCTCTTATACTCCTGTACCGCATGCCAGACAATTTACATACTGAGACACAGGCATATGGAGTGATCTAAATCACTCTTCACATCTGATTCTCTCTGTGTAGTCTGCAAGTGAATGTAGTCTGGTCCCTGGTGAGGAGAAACAAAATGTGATCAGGTAATTGCTATATCATAATATTTACATAAGTGGGTAAAACCAAGCTTCCCTGGACAACCTTAATTTTTCAGCGTGTTCTTGCTGAGTTCCTACAGTTGTCACTGTTGATTATGATGTCAGTAATAAGAGAGTTTTCCCCTACCTTGAGGATTTAGAGACACAGACTAGATCTCTAAATGGTACTATTTGTCTATTATATAGGGAGAGATTCTGTGGATCTCCTATCCTCTGTTGGTGAGATGGGATGTGATGTTGTTAGTGGGGCGCATAGCTAGCAGCACAAGAATGATGAGACTCTATGACTTTCCCTCTTTCTCCAAGCTGTCTGCTAACTAATCTGCTTGGGCAAGCTCAGTTCAGCTATTTTTCCTGCTTCTGGTTGGAATATCATCAGAAATGGAATGTGATCTGTGCAGACTTAAATAGTAACTCTTGCCTGAACATTAAGAATCCTTACTCAGTTTAAAAAAATACTGATGGCTCCAAAGGGGACTTGCAGTTTTATGGGAAATTTTTTATCAAGGATGCTCATCTGTGGTAATGTATATACTTCTTATGGAAAATAGAAGCATTTAAGTAAATCTCCTCCTCCAATAAAAAATAGCTAATCTAAGGCCATGGTTCTGTGATGAACTGAGGCAGTCTAATTCCTTGCTGCTGGAAGTGAGGGTTCTCAGTCCCATCTTCCTTGGGGCAATGTGTTCCTGTCCTCTGCATTGTCCCAGCTGTGTTACTTGTTAAATCCTTTTTTGAGTTTATTACCATGGCAGGAAACTATCCAACTTTTTGCCAGACTAGTTTTCTGCTGTGTTTGTGAGTTGAAATGGCTTACAGAATTATAAGAAGTGTGCACTACCCAGAGGCAAGCAGCAAGTCTACATGGCTTAGGGCAGAGGAAAGAGGAGCAGTAAGGTGTGTCTTTACTTAATGAAGTAATCAAGTTAGAGCTCACAGCTGCCCACCGCTCATGGAACTGCATCCTGACTTGCACATGGACAACTACAGTATATCAGTAAAGCATAGCACCTGACTGAAGTATCCGAGCTACAGGTATCGGAGTTCACAGTTATGTGTGAACAATTCCATCTTTTTTCTTTTTCTTGGTTTGGCTGAATTTGAGTGAATTTTCATAGGGAGGAAAAGCTCTCCTGTTGATTCTTGGTGAGAAAATAGATGGCTTGCTGCTGAAAAGGGGAGTTTCTGAAAAGCACTCACCTTCCTTTTGCTGTCTCCAGCTCTTGTCTGACTGCAACAGTAAGACAGTTTGACTTACTGTGCTGTTAAAAAATGCTCTTTAAAAATTTTGGGGGGTAGGTCTTTTGCTGTTTTAGATAGTTGAATTGATTTACTGTTGCAAGCAGATAACTGCCAAAACCAGCATAAGGTAAACAGTTGAAATGTATTGGGACTGCGGGACTAGAATAAGGGAAGGGATTTTGAGACTTAAAAGAGAGACAGGCTTCTCCCTTTCTGTAGCAGCAGGCTGCCCCATCTGTAATTAATGTGCATAGACCAAACTAGGCTGAAACCACAGCAGATTGAGTTTCAGGTTCTTGATCAAGAATTGCTAGTTATTGATAAACTTTTTTATAAGAAGGTACATGTGGATATCCTTGTCTGAATACATTGTTTAAATCCTCATAGTTCAGTTTTCAGTTGCTACATAGATAAAATTGTGGAATTATAGGGACGAGTACTGATCTCATCCATTCTTTTATTACACAGAAGTTGTGATGATGACTAATACGGCTCTAACTTGGTACATTAAACTAAAACGCTGGCAGCTCTGATAATTGTATTCTTGCACATGATTTCTTGCTATCTTGTAGATTGAATGGTTATGTTAGCCTTAAAGTGGTTTTGTCATGTGGTCACTGCTTTTGCGATGGTTAGATAGTGTTTCACTTACGCTTTCAGCGGATACAGCTCATTACACAAGATTCTACTTTTCAAGATGTATAATTACACAAATCTTACATTTTCAGCTTTCCTTCATGTTATTCACACAAACCTATTTATATATATCCATCAGAATTGAAGAAGTGCTTTAATATAACTGCTGGTTTTCTCCACTTTTTCAGTCTGGAATCGAGCTGTTTGTGAACAGGCTTGACTCTGTAGAGTCTGTCCTTCCCTATGAATATACTGCGTAAGTATATGATACTGTTTATGTCATTTTAGTTGTCAGTTCCTCCAAAAAGAGGAATTTAAGTTTTCTTAATGTGTCCTTGCAGGTACTTTAGAAGTAGTGCATGGATTGATAGGCCCTCATGTAGGTCGAATCACTGCTTTAGAATAACTTAAGGTTAAAATGTGTTTGTGCATGTATATATAAAAAATACACTGTTCTTCATTAGTTGTCATTTTTTAGATCAAAGTATTACTGCTCTCTTAAGTAGCATATAGCCCAGATGAGTTAAAGTGGTAATGAGGTGTGAACTTCCCATCAATTATCTTAATGAGGTGTTAAATGTTTTCTTGCTACACTTCATAGGAGTGCACAAAATGTATCAGTGCCTGGTATAACTATGTCAAGTTGTTGCTTCAAAGAATATTTTGACTTAGTATTGAAGAGGTTAAGCACTAACTATGTCTACATTTTAATGAACACGAATGTGATATACTTGAAATTAGATTGAAAAAACTTGGAGGATGTGCTAATAAATGCGTTGGTGAATAAAACTGCAATAACCTGTTTATTTAATAGTGCTTGTTGTAAAGGAGCTGTCTGTATGTGTGTGTATTTTGTTGTTGTTTTTTTTTATTCCCACCTGCCCAAGAATCTGGCTGGCATGCTTTTCTCTCAGGGCTGTCATGAAATTCTATGCAAAGATTTAATACCTGGCTAAAATTCCTATGCAAATAGGAAACTTCTAATTAATATAAACTGAATTCTGAAATAGCTGACTAAGAGATTTGATTGTTGGTTTTGTTTTATGGTTTTGAGGTTTTTTTGGTGGTTTGGGTGTTTTTGGTTTTGGTTTGTTTTTTTTTTCCAAAATGGGACTGCAATTTTCACACTGCTTTGAAGATTCAAGGAAGAAAGTGTTGTCTAGAAGGAAAGCTGTATAGTTCCTTTTCTTGTGATGAAGATGTTGATTTGGGACCACTGTTTGAGGTCTAATATTTGCAGCTGAGAGTATTTTACTAACTTTTCTATCTTTTTTCTAATTCAGGTTTGATTTTTGTCAAGCAGAAGGAAAGAAGCGTCCCTCTGAAAACCTTGGCCAAGTATTGTTTGGAGAGAGGATAGAACCGTCTCCTTACAGGGTTTGTTCTCTGACAAGGGGTGTTCAGTAATACGTACATTCAAGTGTAATTAAAGGAGATCAGAATCTTGAAGATCCTCTTCACAAGGGCTTTATTTCCACAAGCATCAAAATCTGAAATGCCATGTAATAGAAATCTGTCAATTTAATCTAACTGTGACTGTGCACTTTGCATCATGAAACTGTAGCCTGAAATGCTGTGGAGGTTGTCTTCTTTGGAACCTGCCAAAGCCTGATTCTTGCTCCTCAGCTGTTCCCTTTTTATAGGATATTGAGTACTCTTATTTCTTGGAACCAGATCTGAAAATATTGCAGCTGTGAAATGGAAGAATTAGAAATGGTGTTAGCCAGCTTGTCTTTTCTGGTGACTGAAGCTCTCATCTCTGATACTATAGTGGGAGAGAAAGTTATCAATTAAATCTGCCTGGGACAGCATTGCTGCTGTGAGGTCAAATGACTTGTCTGGTAAATTGTTGCAGAAAACAGTTTTTAATCAGTGACAAGGAGCTTTTAGTGTAGGGCTCCTACAGTGATTACAGGAGGGTTTTATAGTATGCAGCAATATAAAAACCTCCTCTGGAGGGTTAATATACATAGTCTTGGTAATTTGTTAGGTGTTTTTATTGTATCAGTATAGGCGATTATAAATGTATAGGGGAAACTTGTGTAATTTCAGTATTTAACAAAGTTTGTTACAACCTTTTTGCTCGTATGTCTTTCATTTTTCTTAGTTCACATTCAACAAGAAGGAGACATGTAAATCTGTTTGTACAAAAACATATGATACTGCAAAGCCAGAAGATAAACAGAAATTAGACTTTCTGAAAAAAAGTATGCTGCTGAATTATCAACATCATTGGTAAGTTCATAGCAAAATTTGTAGATTAGTTAGTCTAGTATGTTGGTGATAATTTAGTTTATCATTTTGTATTTGCATGTTAATACAGATTGAACACTGGGTGTTTGCACTGACTCTGTTACCCTTCTGTTCTTGCAAAAAGTGTTATATTTGTTGTCTTCATTAAAAATTTCCTTTACTTGAAGGATAAGCACGGGGTGTAATGGAAGCGAGCCTGTTTCCAAACATAAAGCTTTGTGTAGTTTTTGTGCTGCCTCTGTGCTTACTGTAAATATTGCTCTTTCTTTGCACCTGTAAATGTGGAAGTTAATCCTGCCCTAGCTTGAGAAGAGTCTTAAGGCCTTCATTATACTGCTATGTCATCTTTGTTTTCCTCAAGAGCCTTTGCACTCCCCTTCAAATGTTTTGTCCAGGAGATAGGATCAATGGTTCTGAAAGAGTTTTATGCAAAGTTTGTTTCTCGTATAGGATATGCAACTGGAAGGTTGCATAATGAAAATTAATTAATGAAATAATTTTGAGGGACCCATAAACACTTGGTACTTTCCTATTCTCCGAGTCCCTCTGTAACCATCTGAGTCATCTTGGAGCATGCTAGGGCTCTGTTTCTCTTTGAGCATTGAGGTCCTCTTCTGATGGACAGTGGGGCAAGGCTGAATGTGTATGCTGATTTTCAGTTGGGGTTTAGCCATGTTCTGCACCCACATCCAAGAGCTGGGAAATGTTTGTCAGTGGGTTCCATCTTGATGTTCGAAATACCCAGACACACTATCTGTATTTGTGTAGCGCTTTGTATGTTGGTATGCTGTGCGAACTGCAGCCTTTGGGTGCAAGGGTAGAAGGAGCAGCTTGAGCATGAAGTTGTCAGAGTTCCTGTGGCGTGTCTTTGCAAGGAATATGTGAGCATAATTAACTGATGTTGCCCATATGATTCCAAATATGTGATCCCTGCTTCACAGGAACAAAGGTTTCAGTCTTCATCTAATAAGATTAAAATTTTCTGGATATATTAGTAAAAATGTAGGTGAAATGTTGAATGTTGCCACTGTTATTAAATGTTTTTCTGTAATGTCATATTCCATTTCTTCAGTTTTGAAACAGCTGCCCATGCTGGAAAGGCAATGAGTGCGTTTTCTACTGCATTTTATACTGCTCTTGGGAACCAATATAGGATAAACCTTTTTAGGGATAAACTATAGCTCACCAATGTAATGTATGGCTCACTGGGAGCCTCTTCAAAATTTGTGTAGTTTTAGTGTAGTTGGAAGTTGATAGATTAGATCAGAAGGGTTCACAGACAATAGCAGTACACTTATGTAAATGAACCAGGAAATAATAAAGAAACTTTGAAAGGCACAGCTACTTCTGCAGGGATTCAGAGTGTATACGCCTAACGCTGAAATAAGTAGAGCTTCAAACATGCTGGATTTGGTTATATTCCCATTAAATACTGCATATATCTCTAATATTTACACCACTTTGAATTTCACTGATGTGTGTTGGTCTGGCATAAAGCTTCACCTTTAAGAGTTTGTGTATGTTTTGTTGTATAAATGACAAATAGTTTCCCAAGGGTATGACCCTGTCACTCTTTGAAAGAGATTCAGCTTTTTTAGTAAAACCCAAAACTTAAGCTGACTATTGATACAGAAACTGGAACAGAACTATGTAAAACTAATCACACAGAAGAGTACTTTAGACTCTTCCCCCTGCCTTACACTAAGTATATTTGTAAAACAATTTAATGTATTTAAGCATATTTTTTAGCTTGTACAGCTACCTTCATAGGACTGTTCAGATTTTAGTAAGATGTAGTTCTGTTTTTCAGTGTGAAGACTTCCATTTAAATTTAGGGAAATACATCTATATACGTCTTCTTACATTCTTGGTTCTTTTAATAGCACTTCTACTATTTGTTTTTTTGCTAGGCTCACTGCCCTTAAACTTTAGAACCAGTGGCGTGAAGAATCCCTATTTATGCCTGTTATGGTAATGATAGTCCTTCCACAGCTTCACAAAGTGGAAGTGGCTGGATTTTGTGATGAATGATGCATAGTCCAGGAGTATGTTGTACGGGGATCAGCAAGGTAGCGTAAGTGAGGATTTAATAGAGACTTATTACCCAGTTTCAAGTTATGGTAAAATTCCTGGGGAACACAGATGGTGCAAAGTACTTTTAAGGGTTTAAAAGCCACTTAATAAGATTAGCAATTGACAAACTGAATGGGACTCAACGTCTACTGATATCTTGGCTGACAATGTTCATCACCAGATGTTCTTGAGACACATACAAAAACACTGTTGAATAGTGTATTTGCCCCACATGTATAATCTCTTCAAGTAATTTTAAATTAGAAGATTAACTGTGAAAAATAATTTGCTGCTTAAACTATCAATTTGTTCCAGCTTTGCGACTTGAAGGCAGCTCAGTATGTCTTTGCTGCAGAAGATGCAAAGGAAAACCTTTATCCCAACCAAAGTCGTTAGCAGTAGATTAGTGCTCTACCTAGTTCTGATTATGAAATGAAAATATTAACAAAAGCAAGAGCTTCTCTAGCATATATTATGAAGGCAAAATTCCAAATATTGTCCAAATGTAATGAATCTGCAGCTGGAATAGCTCTAATCAGCAACTTAATTGTGCCTTATATCAGCATGGTGAAACGAGTAAGATTTGGTTAGCGCTGCTGCTGTTTGCAACTCTGTGATAGTCTCTGGAATCTCCCCAGAACCTGGAAACTGTGTTTTTGGAGGGCTTGTCTTCCCCTCTTCTGCTGTCTCAGTATGAGCCATAAACATTGCTACTTATTTCTGTCTGGTAGCTAATGGTAGGGATGATGCAGATCTCCTTGTGGTTTGTGAAGAAAGGCACCACATACCACTCTTTTTTTACCCCCATCTATTGATGTGCTTTAAAAAATACTGCTACTTCAGAGACTGTTACAATACCCAACAAACTAAATAATACTTTGTTGTTGTCTGAAGTAATAATTCCTGTGTTTTATTAGGTATTGGAAAGTAATGGGGTGTTATCAGGTATGAGGTATTTGTTAACATTAATAGCTTAGTGGTTATAATGATGAGACATCTAATTGTAAAGGATATTCAGTAGCTTGGTAAGTTTTACAAAAATGTGTGTTGTTAATTTTCAGTTGGATGTCCTTTTTTTTGTCTAGTGATGCACAAAAAGTGGCAGTTGTCTCATGTCTTCATGTGTGAAGTTTATTAACAGACCTTTAAAACCATACCTTGGAGTAATTAATGTTGCCCTAAGGGCAGCTACTGAATTTTAAGTCATCTTTGATTCAGTTTCTTTTGAGATTTATCTTTCAGTTAAAACACTTCATAACATAAAGAAACGGGTTTTTGGGTTTTTTGGTAGTTCGTTTTACAAAGGGACAGGTCACCATGTTGGGTATCTTTGTTTATGTTTAAAAGTATATTTTTCATATTGATGTTTGTACTGTTTGTAGCATCTTCGATACTTTTTGTATCTTATGGTCTTGTAATTTCCTGGAACTTCTCATGAGGGTGTGGCGTTCCTCCACAAATTTTTCAATGAAACTGAACTATAAACTTACTCAGGACTTTTAGGTAATATGAATATAAATCTCGTGATCCAATAATATAAAGGCAGCAGAGAAGTTTGAAAGTAATTACAGTAAAAGTTTAAAGACTGCTATGAAAAATGTGTTTTTTAACGGAAGAGTAATGAGCAAGCTGGAAAATTAATAATACGTGTGTGTAGGCAAAATTTTTTATTTTGTGTTTTGTCTTGAAATTATCAAGTTCATTTTAGGTGGTTTAGTGGATAATTTTGGCCTTTTTTAAAGACAGAATAATGTTAAATTGTTATGACTTTGGAGTGGGAGAATTTTATGTATTGGGCTGTATTTCTAAGGGGAGTTCAGACACCAGTCCAGTGAGTAGAATGTTTTGGTGGCCAAAGAGTAAGTCTCCTATTTCCAAGACACCTTCTGAAGAAATACATTGATTTATTCCACACACCCTCCCCCCCCCCCCCAAAAAAAATAAACTTTTCCCCCCCCCCCCCAAAAAAAGATAAACTTTCAGTTGAAGAGCTACATGCTTAGATCTCGTTCAGAAATTGGATTGGCAATTGGTGCAGTTCCATGTGTTAAGATCTGAAAGAAGTATTATTCTTGTAGTTAATCTTCCAATAATCAATGTAGTGACGTTAGATTATTATTAATCTGGTTTTGTTTACATTACACTGTGTATGTTGAAAGGTTGTGAACTGTCACTATGCCATTAACAGGATTGTGGACAACATGCCTGTGACCTGGTGTTACGATGTTGAAGATAGCCAGAGGTTCTGCAATCCTGGTTTTCCTATCGGCTGTTATATTACAGAAGACGGCCGTCCAAAAGATGCCTGTGTTATTAATGTATGTTTATGCAGTTATGATTTTTTTAATATCCTCTTTTTACGAATTTAAAGACTGGCATTTTTCCTATGTTTCTGTGATGAGTCCTCACTATCTTAAGAACCCTTGTTACCTAAAACTAGGTAAGTGTTTTGATATCTCTGCAAGTACCACAATTTGTAAGCCTTGTCTAAGCCTAAGAACTTTATCTTTTCTGTTGCATAATACGGAAGGGCTCTAAAAGATAGAGGTAAGAGATGAACATGCATAGCATTTAGCACGTGTAAAGGGTGATGGAGCAGAAAAACATGTCATCCTTCATTGCCTAGGAAGTCTAAACATTCGAAGGCTTAGACTTCACATTTTTGTGGGATAGAAGTGTTTTCATGGAAGCAGGTTTGCATAGACATGTTTGTACCTCTGCATGGCAATTAATACTACCTGAAGGACTGTTTTCTCTAAAACTGTGTGGGCTAATGAAGAAGGCAGAATGTAAGATTTCTGAGTGAACAAAGCTTCTCTTGTGACAGACAGAACTATTGGATTAACTGGTGGAGGTCTAGGTAAATGCACTGTAAGCATTATGGAGATGAGAACATGATAGAAAATCCAGGATGTCTTTAGATTACCGCACACCTGTTCCATGGAGAGTTCACTAAGAACCAGGAATAGGTTGCTGGTTTTACCAAAATGGTTGGTTTTACTTAATGGATCTTACCAAAGACAACTGTTTCTCCAGTTTCTAATTTGTTTCCTTTCCTCCATAATGAATTGGTTTCAGTGGCTCCATGAGAATGGATGCTGGAAACACATCTATGATCAAACATGTAATCTGGCAATATTCTCTTAATCTTAATTAAAACCAAGTATTTTAAAAATGGAAAATAACCTTTGAAGGAGTAACTGAAGGACTGTAGAAAAACACTTTGTTTATACAACTATTCTTATAATTAGGGTGCTTTGTAGAAAGGGGTGGGGACAGAACCTTGAAGTACTACTAGTTGAACTTCAGTAGACATAATGCTTGTGATTTAACAACCTCTTTAACTGACTAAATTCCAAGCTGTTGTTTCCCTTTACCTGAGACTTGTATTCAGCATTCTTGGCTGCTGCTTATAGTTTACCCCTGTGCATCTTTGGTTTCAAATGTCAAGGTAGTTCTGTCACAGAGAGCAATTATTTGCATTGTTTGTCCTGGAAGGTTCTGTTTAATCTATGAAAAATACACATGTTATTTTAAAATAGCTGATGTTTATGAGATCTTTCTGATATGAAAGTTGTCACACAGTTATCTATTGTTTGCTACTTCAATAAATTAAAATGGGACATCTTCAGTTACTGAAGTATTTATAAATACATTTTATATGTAAATACTTTTCTACTTTTCAGCTGCAGTAGACTGTTCTTAGCATTAACTTTTCTAGTTTGCCTTTTTAATGCAAAGCTTTAATGCAAAGACTTTGCTATCTCTTTATTCCCAGAATCCCACATTCATTTTGTAGGAGAACTTCTTGACAGAGAAACTGTACACAGTCTAAAATTCTGTTCTGTAAGTTTCTGCCTAAGGCCTTTAGGTGTCTTTCTCTTTTTGATTGTTTAACATCATCTTTTATCATTGCAGTCAGAATTTCATGAAAAAGATACTTTTTATATCTTCAACCATGTTGACATAAAAATATATTACCATGTTGTGGAAAATGAAGCTCTGGGAGCAAGACTAGTTGCCGCTAAACTTGAACCAAAAAGGTTAGTACTCAGAAATAAGTTGTCATCAAACAGTGGTCCATCCCAAGATACTTGCTTTGATTTGGGGACCTCTTGCTAGTCGGAAATGTTTTCAGGTATGTGACCTGTAGATTAGCTTTCCTGTTGATTGATGTAGTCTAATGTCGGACACTTTAACATAATTTTGTTTTGAATTTGATAGATCTTTGTGCACTATTTCCTATTTGGGCCAAAAAAAAAGATAAAATAAAACCTGGAAGTGGTGTGTGTTCGGTGAAGCAACTCTCATTTCCCTACTGGGGAACATGTTGTCTTATGATGAAATAGGCCACCAGTGCCAGAGGCAGGAGTAATCAGAGTGCAACATTTGATGTCTTCAGCAATCAGGATTTGAATGGAATGATTTCACAAATCTACTCATCAGTTGTTCTGGTGTCTGTGTGGCTTTTATACAACTGATGTCTGTTTTATTACTTTGTAGTGTCTTTCCTTTCTTTTGGATTCTTGATATAACTGAGCTTGTTGCATTGTTGGTGCAGCATCATGATGAAAATATTTTTTTCTGACAGAAGTTAGTAATTCTGTTGTTGTAACTTTTAGAGTGTTTTGGAGGTTCTTAGTGGTACTCGGACTTTTTTAATTTTTGGTGCTCTGCTTTAGAGACCCTGCTCTCCATAGTGTTCTTTTTAGAAGAAACAACTTTTGTTTAAAAAGTTCAAGTACCAAAAAGTCCTGTGCTTATGATACATTCCTTATGAGTTCTGAAATTTGAGGCATTAAGAACAATTTTTATATTTCAGGGAAATACCCTGGCTGAAACTGATGCTTTTGTAAGATGAATGAATTCTCTTTGGAATGTTGTCAGTGAAGCACCTTTCATACTGTTTTTTCTTCCCGCAGTTACAAACATACTCATCCAGACAACCCTGATTGCTCAGGAGTACCTATGGATATAAGTAATAAGGCTAACGGAGAAGTCAAAATTGCTTATACATACTCAGTTTCTTTTCAAGTGAGTACTAAGCTTTCTGTGGTACTAAGCGCTCTCAAAATCATGTATTGATACTCTGAATGATAAGGTTGGACAACTAAAATTAGCTCAGAATAGTAAATTTGTGGTTTTAAAACTTTATTTGAACTGCACTGTCAGTGATTACTTGGGATTTAACCACACACTTTACAATTTTGCATACCACCTCACACTCACTGAATGTGAAATGCGCATGTGTGTTTTAAAAGAATCACACTTTCCATGTTTACCTAGGTTGTCTGGTAGCTTATTTTTCAATCCAAGCTTTACGTCTGAGACATTGTGTGTTTCAGCAAATTACTGTTGTAGGTAGGTTAGGTTGAAGCTGATCGTTTTCTGCTCTCCTGCTGCAAAAGCTTTCTTCTCCTCAAGGTCTTCCTCCCATGGAAATCTGCAAAAGAGCAGGAAGCTGATATTCTTTGTTCCTCTATTCTCTATTTAAAAGCAGAGGAGCTTTTAAAAGAGCTTTAAAAACAGTTGCTATCAGGCAACTGCAGGGAGCAGTGATGCTTGAATATGTCTCGTTCTGGTGACAAGCAAGAGAGATTTTTTTTTTTTTAATGGAGTTTGCTGGACAAACCGTTTCCCAAGGTTTCCCACTCTCCGAGACTGTTTCCCTATTAGTCAAAGACCTCAAAATGCAAGTGACTCACTAAAAAGAAAGCAAACTATAACTGGAGTTCTTTACTCCTTGTGTATGTATTGAGAGGATAGCTCACACGCAACAGTTCATACTTTCAACCTCAACAATTCTGTGATTCTTCTGGATATGAAGGAGTCTACTCCTTACTTTTTTTTGTCATTATGGACTTTAATCAAAATCTGGCAATTAATAAATTAAAAAATGAAAATAAGGCAATTTTTGTTTAACTTTTTTCATGTTCTGAGTGCAAGGTCAGTGGTGCCTTTCAGAATGATAGGCCATTGTTATATCAAGGCTTTTCATATATCTTTCTTAATTCTAGACTTACAGCCTGCTGTAGGATTTGATTCAGCTGTGGTGGAATGGAGACTAAATAGTTGATCTTTAGTGTTAGTTGGAGAGTAGCACTGAGTTAGCATGTGGGATCCACTACCACTGTCATAAGTATTATGCAGTAAAGCACTGGTCTTACAATGTCATTACATTGCCACAGCTTCTCAGCCATGAACCCTTTTTATCTCTTAAGCTGTTACAGCAGTGTTTGTAGAATTATTATGATCATTCCTTACTTCAGTAATGTACTGGATTACATGGTAAAGTTCAAAATACAATAAATACTGTAAGAAAAATATTCAGAAGGGTTTATGTTATGTTTGACTTCATAATTACATTTTGAGAAATTATATCAGTTATTATACTGAAATTAATTTGTATACTGAAAAGCAAGTACTTCTGGAAACCTGTGAGAAGCTAGTAATTAAGAATGACCTTAGCTTCATGCTGTTATATTGTTTCTCTTTTAAAAATTACATGCCCAGCTATGTGTGTGTTACTGTCCTGTATGCTATGTTACATCACTTTGAGGTCGTCTTCTGAAATTCCATCGGGTTGGCAGATCAGGTCATCTCAGGAAGACAGGAAAAGGGCAGTATAGGTATGGGGGAAAATGCGATTCTATCCTAGAATCATTGCTATGGTTTAGAAATTTGTTGCTTGCTTTACGACCTAGCTTTATTACCTCAGTGAACTAGATATTTGATCTTGGCTAAATTTTTTTAACGTGTTTTCTTTTATATTTTCAAAAGCTGGCTTTACTGGAAAGCACTCTTGTTCTTGTTTGTTATAAATTACTGAAATAACATCCTGTCAGGAAGACACCTGGCCATTTCTATTAATTGATGCTAGTGTTTATGGTTTGTTTAATAGCAGTCTTGAGGTTGATCAGCACTGTTTATTCCTTTTTCCATGTTTACTATGCAAAATAAAACAAAACAAATAAATACTTTTTTTAAGTGTTTCTGATCAATGAATGTTCAGTCTGAATAAATACAATCCATTGAAATGCCTGAAGAAATAATTTGTTTCCCTCTGCTAACAATGTAAGTTCTGTAGTATTGTCTCCCAATCTGGCTTGCAGTACAAGCTGAATGTAACTGGACTGGTAGTTGGTAGTGAAACGAATTTGTGTGAAAGAGAAGGATAGTTTGGACAGAGCACTATCTAGAAAGGGGAATATTATGCTGCAGACCATAGAGCAGATCTTAGCTTCTCAATGTCTGTGGGGTGACTTACATATGCTAAAAAAACCTCGCATATCCTCTTATTATTCTGCTAGTCATTTGAATTCCACATGAGTTAATGTAAGTCTTGAAGGGAGGAAGCACAATTAAACTAATTTGATAGACCTTTATGTCTTCAGAAGACATGGTTGCTCAATACTATCCAGAAGATATTTTTGTTTGGATTCTATGGTCAAATCTGATGTTTGTTTTAGGTAACTATCCCTGGAAGGCATGTAACATGAAATTTCCAATTTGTCATGAGATTTAAGATTGCTTGGCATGAACATCAACTTGTAAATGTACAAGTTGGATACTGACTGTATCTGAAACTGATGTGTTTACTCTTTCAGGAAGAAAAAAATATAAGGTGGGCATCAAGATGGGATTATATTTTGGAATCCATGCCTCACACTCACATTCAGTGGTTTAGGTGAGAAGAAAGTTAGTCTTCAAGTGTACTGTACTGAAGTGTTTACATTGCAATTTGAATGATTTTTTTTTTTTTTTTTAATTCAGTATTATGAATTCCTTGGTGATTGTCCTCTTTCTGTCTGGAATGGTAGCTATGATTATGTTGAGGACACTGCATAAAGACATTGCAAGATACAACCAGATGGATTCCACTGTAAGTCTAAAATGTACCTCCTAAAATTTATTCGGAATGTAATTTTTTCAGCTAAGTGCATTTCTGTAACAGGCTATTTAAATGGCAGTCTGCTGTATTAAAATAGATGTATTTCCTTTACAGGAAGATGCTCAAGAAGAATTTGGCTGGAAACTGGTTCATGGTGATATTTTCAGGCCCCCAAGAAAAGGAATGCTGTTGTCTGTTTTTCTAGGCTCTGGCACACAGATCTTAATAATGACTTTTGTTACCCTGTGTAAGTAATAAGGTGGGGAGGAGTTATTTGAGTACAGATTATTTTTTCACTACTAATTGCATGGTACTAGTAAAAATAGCAGTATAGATTTTGTCTAGAAATTCCTTAGAAGTCTTATGGTTTGAAACAGCTGAGCTGATGTAGTAGACGTGCAACTTGGTATGCATAGATTTTAAGATAACTGATATACTGGCTTTAAGTCAAATGTACAGTTACTTTCTAAAATTGTGCATCTCTGCTTCATAGTTTTTGCTTGCCTGGGATTCTTGTCACCTGCTAACCGGGGAGCTCTAATGACCTGTGCTGTAGTTTTGTGGGTACTGCTTGGAACTCCAGCTGGTTATGTTGCTGCCAGATTCTACAAATGTGAGTAAAAGTTATTTAAAATGACAAGGCTTAAGTTCATTAGAGTAAATTATCATCACAGAACTGATTTTTATTTTGCAGTACTGTTTGTAGTTTCCCTCAGGGCAAGTTGGAAAAATGTATGTACCTTAACAACAGAAAACACATACAGAACACTGACATGGTTACATTGGTTTTGATGTGATCGTGCCTGAAGACCCTGCATTGCTCTTGTATTTATGGAATTGGGAAGCAAATTCCATTTTACTAGCACTAAGCTCATTACATCAGACAGTTTTGTATTTCTCTTTCCTACAGTTGGGGGGAGCGGTGTTAACGTACATTTAGTTTTAGCCATCAGTGTTGCTTGGTGACTTCCCCACCACCTTGAACCATGAACCTCTGTTCTTGCATGCCTGAGATTTGTCACCTCTTTTTAGCTAGTTCCTAGGTCTTTGAGAGAATGGTGCTTATCAGACTGTGTCAGGGACGCAGGGTAAGAATTATTAGGCGTTCTGTAGTTGTAGAAATCAACCCAGTGGTGTTTGGGCCCCTGACAGTTGTTAGGTGATACTGTTTTCCTTCACTCATCCCAGCCGGCTATTGTTTCAAGGCCTGCCTACCAACCCCAAAGGGTTTGCCCCTGTACCCTCTGGTTTATCTTAAGGCAAAGCATGCCATTCTGCATACAGCTTGTTTTAATTACCTTACTTAAGGTAAAAGACTCTTTATAACTGAGTGAGCTGGATCTTTTGGACTATTTTAGTTCTGAACATACAGGGCTAGAGAAGGAGTTTATTTCTGAACTTCAGCCTGTCAGTAGGCATTGGAGTTCGTTCTTACAACCATTTTGTAATTTTCATGTGGGGAGGTCCACTGGGGAAAGAGGGTTTGTATTCTGTAAAGAGTTTTTCTACAGTGGTAGTGATGTGATGTGATAGTGAACTATTCTTTTTCCTAATCTCCAAGCCAATTAGACTTAAATGGAAGGAGACTTTAGGACTAAGAGCATAATTGAGGACAGAATGATTCTTTATATCATGCTGTATATTAGGTGTTTTGAAAGATATTTTGAAAGATATTCAGGTAAACTGAATCCTGTATCTTTGGTGGAGATGTAGCTAATAATAACTCCATTTCAAACTATGCTTATAGGGAATCATTTAGTCGATACTTGAATATTGTGTTTTAACTAAAACAGTGAGTGACTGATCCAGAGATATTCTTGTTATAACACGAGGTGGTCCATACCTTGTATAGAGCATGTAAACACAAATGTTTCTCCTTACAGTGTACAAATAAAGTAATGTGAGATATAAACCAAAATGCAACTGAAATGGATATCCAGTTTTAAAAGTTTGGGGTTTTTTTTCAACATTGCGTTTAAAAAGTGAAACCTGAGTTGAAATTAAATGGTTAATCTTAGTAACTGGTGCTATGTTCTATCAAGAATTTATGAAGAGGTAGAAACTTAATTAAAATCACTCTAACCATAGTAATTTCTGACTCTTGAAGTAAAGCAGCATGTCATTATGGCAGTGCTCAGATGAAATTGTCAGCTTCACTGCATTCCAGCAGGATATTTTCATTTGAAAGTAAGCTGACCAGAATTTTTATCAGTGTAGTGCAAATTCATAAAGACTTTCTTAATAAAGCTATCTTTGGTTTTTTGGTGTCACCACTGCTTAATGCTGTTAAGACTCAAGAGAACATCACTACTTCCTGTAAGTGTGTTCATCCTGACTTTCTTGTAAGATTCATAGACAAGAATTATTTCAAGAAAACTGTTAAGCTTGCTTTTCACATACTTACTTTTTTTTTCCCTACTGAAACCTGCAGTCAAATGCTAGAAAGCTTAAACTTCTTAATGGCTCCAGGTTTAAACTGTTTTTTAAAGACTTAAAACTACTTCAAATCTGCTTCCTCCTTTTAGCAGATAAAGTGGTCAGAGACTCTGTTTAGTTAGATACTTTTCCTGACCTTGGTCTGAGGCTTGTCTTTGCTTTGAAGCTGTGTGGTTAAGCAATATGACGAGAGAATTCAGTTTTATTACTGAAGATTTAGTTTGCTGTTTTAAACTTGGGCACGATAGCTCATTATTTGAGTATTTGCAAGCTAAGTATAACAGGTAAATGGACTGGAAAATTAATAGTTGTGAGCTTGATGCATGTTTTCATGACTGTCAAATGTTTTAATACAGCATTTGGAGGTGAGAAATGGAAAACAAATGTCCTGCTGACATCATTCCTTTGTCCTGGGTAAGTTGAGAATATCGCCATGATTAAAAGAATTAATTGCTTCTCTGACACGTGTAGCTAACTTAAGTTTCAGCTATACAAGTAAATCTTATTACATTGTCCCTTTATTCCAGAAGCTGCAAGAATATCACAGTGCTTTTTGACAAAGATGAATATGCTATATGCTAATGGCATATCATCCTTGCATTTTTTTTTTAGTAAGCATTTGTTTACGCTCACCACATGAAAAGGTTGATTAAGAAAGAGCATTACGATAGTAGTAAGTTTTAGACAGGCACAATTTTTCATTGCTTTCTCTTACTCTCTAGGCTTGTTTCTCTGACCACACTGTAGTTGATCTTACATAGTGTCATATACTGTATAACCACTGTGATAAATTTTTCTACTTAATCACAGCAAGCAGTCTTACCCTGAAGTGTAGCTAAGACAAGCATATATTTGAAATTGGTTAGTTGGAAAGTCAGCTCCTGCTGGAGTTCAGTCCCACTAGATTAACTAAGAATTGCTTGTTTGACCTCTTCATTTTGATATTTTATGTGTGTCATTTGGTTTTAACAGGTATTTATACTAAAATCTTAATACAGCTGTTTTGTTAATACTATTAAATATTAAGGAGTATTTCTGTGCTTTAAGTGTGTTATGTATTTTTCAGAATTGTATTTGCGGATTTTTTTATCATGAACCTCATTCTCTGGGGAGAAGGCTCTTCAGCAGCTATTCCGTTTGGTACTTTGGTTGCTATTTTGGCACTCTGGTTTTGCATATCTGTACCGCTGACATTTATTGGTGCCTATTTTGGTTTCAAGAAAAACGTAAGTGTTTTTGAAAAATTGTTTTCTAAGTGTGTGTATATACATACATACATACATATTTTTCACTGTATAGACTATGACTGAGGTAGCACCTAAGCTGGTTGCGTTGTCAGCTCCAGTTCTGTTCAATTACTTTAGTTCTGCATTAGATAACTGATCTTGAGATTCCAAGACTTTGATATTCAGTTGGTTGTTGGTGGTGATATTTCAGGTGGTTATCATTGTATTTAATTGAGTGACTGCTATGTGATTTAAGCATTTTTGTTTTAATTAGCATCTCCTTCATTACTAAAAAAATTAGTTGACCCAGCCAAGCATAAGGGAAAGGAACTTACGCATTTCTAGTTTTCCCCCATGTTTTTTGTTCCTGTCTGCCCTCTACACAGAGGATAATTTCTAATTAAATTGCTAGAGTTCTTGTGAAATCTCTTTGCATAAGTGTTCTGGAAATAGTTGTCATTGCTAGGCAGGCATTAATTGGGGTTTACTCCTAAACTGATCAATTTTATTTATTTATATGAGGGCTCTTTGTGACACTGGTGACCAAACCTTCTTAAATAATTTTTTTTTTTCTTTTTGCTTAAAACGTGGTTTATTGTGCTCCACAAACTTAAAAATATATGTTTGGATATTTTTGTGTTTTTTCCTGTATAGGAAGCCAGAATTCCAGCTCTCTGTAGCTCTATGGAATACCTTCAGAGAATATTTAAGTATCTTAGAAGGCACTTTTTAAGTCAATTGTAGTTACCCGGTTTTCTTAACCAGAATGCAGTGTTTTTTTCCGATAACCATGTTGAAATTCCAGCATACACCCCTGCATTGTACAGAGGCAGCTCCTTTAGGAAAGGGGGATTTGATAAACTAAAAGGCAATGTGACAGGTGTCACAAATATGTTAAAATCAAATCAGAAAGCAAGTACCTATCAAGTATCTATTGATGCTCTTGATGTAATCTTTAAGAAAGGGGAAAGATGGCAAAGTATGCATTTATCTGCCTTAAATTTTTTCTCCCACCATGCTTAGGATTTAATTGCCAGATTGAATCCTCTCAGTTTGTAAGATTACCCTAATGTGATTCTTGGAGTAAATCCTGAAAAACAACATTTTTGCAAGGGGAAAGCAAGAGTCTGCACCACCACTACCCCCAGCTGAAAAGTGAGCAATCAGCTCAGGCTCTGTAACAGATCATAGGTAATCATAAAAAGGGAAGTCCAAAATCTCTGTTGCTGTGTTTTCAGTACGAACTGTGTTTTAGCTTGTTTGCCTGACAAATCTTGGTAGCTAGGCTGATAGCAAAAGCAGATGTAGCGGTAGCTGAGTATGCACATGCTCAAAACAAGTAGTAGACTTTTGCCACCACTCATTTCAAAAAGCAAGCAAAAAGGTAGTGCTGTAGTCTGACATTTTAATTTATTTAGCTATTTCTTATTTTCGTTTAAAGGCTATTGAACACCCTGTTCGCACAAATCAAATTCCTCGTCAGATTCCTGAGCAATCATTCTATACAAAGCCGTTACCTGGCATTATCATGGGAGGGATTCTACCTTTTGGATGTATCTTTATACAGTTGTTCTTTATTCTCAATAGTATTTGGTAAGTTAACCACAATCTATTTGAATTTTCTCTGTCATAAAAGGTGGTAATTTCTTTGTGGAAAATTTTTCTTCAAGATGCTTTGACTGATTTTTGGTGATGCAGGGTTACCAGACCACTGGTTCAATAAAAATTTAAAAATTAACATCTTTTTTAACATTTTGTGGTTTAGACAGTGCTCAGTGTCCGTTTTGCTTGTGTGGCTGTGATATGGTTACCAATTTACAGCTGACCTACAATATTCAAATAGCTAGTTTTATGATGCTACTCCTCTGACTTCATGTGGAAGTGGCTCTGAAGCTGACGTATGGCATGTAATTTGAAAGCAGTAATATATTAAAAATTACTTGAGGTTTTTTTTAGTTGTTGTTGGTCTAGAAAATTATTAGTACTCGTGGGAGAAAAAAGAACCAAGAACAAATTTTGTGAAGTCTTTATAAAGGCACCAGAGAGTAATTCCTTTCAAAAATAAAGCACCAAAGACTAGTCCAGTAGAAGTGAATTCTGATGTGAGCTCATAGCACACTGACAAACTAATCTACTGTGAGGGATTTGTCTTCCTTCTGGCACAATTTAGTTACTGGATCTTGTTAAACTGTTTCTGAACCTTGAATAGGTGCCTCTACCCAATGTAGACAGCAACAGCACTTGACATTTCTTGTTATTTTGCAGCTCTGCCCCTTTGATTGAAATGTGAGGTGAAATCCAAGTTCTGTTGAAGTCAGTGGAAAAGGTCACGCTGACTTCACTGAAACTGTAATAGCCCAACCAGGAGCACGCTTTGGGCTTGTTTTCTCACTGTTTTCAGACTGAGCTTCTGAGGCTCCTATTCTTCAGAATATTTCTAAAGAATATTCTTTAGAAAAATAAATTAGTCAATTGTATGGCCACGCAACTGACGGTATTTCAGTAGGAAGGGGAATACTTAAGGTGAAGCAGGTGTTACTGCATATGAAGAAATGTTAGCACAGTGTCCATTTTAACTTTTTTTTAAACTCCCTTTTATAGGTCTCACCAGATGTATTACATGTTTGGCTTTCTCTTTCTGGTTTTCATTATTTTGGTTATTACATGTTCTGAGGCTACAATATTGCTCTGCTACTTCCATCTATGTGCAGAGGTAAGAAATATTCTTCAGTATTTATACCTGATTTTGTTTTAAGAATGCTTCCAAAGAAAAATGTAAGGCTTTTGTAGTTGAAAATAAGTATTCCAGAATTCAACATAAACACTATTTCCAGATGAGATGTACTTAAACAGTGTCTTTGCCTAAAGTAGCCTGCTTCACTTTTCAAAACTTGTAACAAATATTAAAACACTGCACTGAGTACTGCTAAGTCAGATATCTCATCTTTAGATTCTACCTCCCTGTTTTCTGAAGATGCTAAACTAATCCATTAACTTTGTTCAGTGAACATCCATTTTGGGCTTGCCCAACCCTGGGGAAAAAAAAATGTCTGTAGGTCTGGCTTATTTGGATTTTTGCCTATTTGATACTGATCTTTTAGCTTTCTTATCTCTATTTGTGAATGTTGTAGTTAAAGCAGTATTGATTATGTATAGGTGTTTTTCCTGTAGATGAAAACAATAAAAACTCACTTTTGGATAAAGTGATAGTAGAAAAAGTAGCTCTGCGTTCAGTTATAGGGTCAGTGTGTTAGAGGTGATGGAATATTACTCATACTTTTTTTTTTCCCCCCCCACTCCTTCTAGGACTATCACTGGCAGTGGCGTTCATTTCTTACTAGTGGTTTCACTGCAGTTTATTTCCTAATATATGCAATACATTATTTTTTTTCTAAACTGCAAATCACAGGAACAGCTAGCACCATTTTATATTTTGGTTATACCATGATTATGGTTTTGATCTTCTTCCTTTTCACAGGTAAGTATATTGAACCTTAATTTAAAATTTGGAGTCTACCTTTGACTTTGCACAGTAGAATCCTTGACAAAACTTACCTTGATACAGGATTATAAATTTATATATGTCTTTGATTTTTTTTCCAGGTAGTTGTGTTGCATTTTAACTCTGTGATCACAAATTTTAGTGAAAGAGATTAAGTGAGGATGAGACAAAACTACTGCTAATTTGAGGTGTGGCCTATATTTAGATCTTCAACTATGACACCTTTAAACATGATAAATACTTCTCCAGACTTCATTCCTATGTTAGTCATGTGACAAACTCAATTTTTAAAAACAATTGTCTTTAGAGAAACATGCTTCAAATAACACACAATCAAATATAAAGTTACAGTGTCAATTAGGAAGAAATTGCAGCTTTTGTGGAATAGGAGGACGGAAGAGATAGGAGTAAAAGTTGACAGAGAATACTTCTCTTTTTATTTGCTCTCTTCTGGAATTTACTTTCTTTCTGAATTGCACTGAATTGGCACAGGAAGCAGACAAGAATTTCTTAACCATTTTTTGATGCAGTCTTGTCAGAACCTTATCATCTTTATTGTGAGCTTTTGGAAAAGCACCTGTCTTAAGTGCTGCATTTCAATTTCCTCTTCAGTGAGTGGGATGAGGTCACAAAATCTTCCTTTGTCATCTTCAGTACTAAGAAGGAATTGTCAGTCAGACATATATCCCCTGGTTAGGGTGGAAGAATGGCATTGAAAATGCAAGAAGTCTCCTTTCAAATTCTGATGCAAGAAGGCAGCAACCACCAACTCCTCAAATCTTAAAAATACTAAATTCTTCATTCAAAGCAGAATGTAATCTGTCTTTGGACTTTACCCTACAGAGCAACATTTTTTTAAACTATTTTGAACTGATCAATAGTTTAAATAATTTCAAGCTCCGTATTTATGAAGTTTAGTGATTCCTAAGGCTTTGATATATATATATGTGTACAGCTATTCAGGCTGTATTTTGAGGCCTCCAAGAAGACAAATGGCTTGTCATCTGAGCTTTTAATACACATCTCACTATAACTACACTTAACATAGGAGAACAAAAAAAAAATCTAGTGGGAAAAGAACTGACATATGAGAATGGTGTTCATTTTCAGTGTAACTGAATAATAATATCGAAGACATCGCCACTTCAGCTTAGGAAATATTGAAGCTGTTCATGCACCACGACTGAATGCAGATGATGATGAATGGGAGCAAGAGCCTGCAAAGAGTTTCGTGGGTCATTGCCTGTAAAAAGGGGGGAACAGGGCTTAAGTGCATTATATAATCTCTTTGAAAAGTGATCAAGCTGTGTTCCAAAAGTGGTTAGTTTTATCTTCCACCCTTCTCTTTAAGTCAGTCTAATGTGTTTTGGCATTGCTTGCGGATGTTTTGTACGTTACACATCATCTCTACTTTTATTTATATGTTGTGCACTGGTAAGCAAGTCATTCTGAATACGTAGATCAGAGATTCTGCCTCCCTTTCTCACCCTGTCTTATTCCTCATCTGGGTTTACTAATAGTCTCATTGAACTGAAGAATTTAAGAATGCATCGTTATTCAACTAGAAGTGAATGTGTACTGCTGTATGTAGATCAATTTTTAAATACAGTGAAAACTTACGAAGTTTGACTATAAAAATAATAATTTTTAATTAAATTAAAAAATTTAGAAAAATAAAAATAAAAAATAATTAGGCCTTATGTAAGTGTGTAAGGTCAATTAATTTAGTTTCACTAGCTTTTCCAATAGATATTCAGCATGTCTGTCTTTTTTAGTAGTAAACTGTGTTGGGCAAAGCCAGAATTGTGTTTACCTTATCTGCTTTGTTCAATCTGTTTACTTTTGGATGCATGCAGTAATTCTGGACTGCACACACTCAAGATAAAGGGGATTTACAGTAAACTTTCTATGCTGAGACTTGGCTTAGCTGCCTTTCTGCACCTAAGGTACCCCTGTAATTTTTATCTTCTGCCCTTACTCTTTTGAATCAGTCATGTCCCATGACATCATCTAGAGGCATTAAGACGTGTGCAGTGCATCCCCCTTTTCCTTTGTTCACGTGTTCACTTCCAATTGACCAGTTGGCTGTGCAGCACCTGTCGGCAAATCTGGAGAGTCCCTTTCAGAGTGGGTTCACAAGCATGCAAAGAGGTGGTTTACTCTCGGACTCCTTCAGGTGCTTTCTGTGGTAGTCATTTGTGTGTAATGGGGACAGCGGAGATGTGAGTTACGCTGTGCAACTTAAACTAAGCTTTCAGAGCTTGTATGCTTTCGTTTTTTTGAAGTTTTCAGTTTCTGTATTGAAATTTGGGGAGAACACATGTGAAGTTAACCAAAGGGGTAGGACTTTGAGACATCATATGCTTAATGATTTTTTTCAATCTACTTCCCACAAGATTAAGTGCAAATTATCCTTTGAGAGAATAGTCCTATTTATTAAGATTTAAGAATAATTTTGTCCATTTAGGTTGATATGCATTCTAAGACTGATTATGTTCCATTCTGAGTTTTACTGAAGAGCTTTGAGATAATGTTTTACAGAAAAAGTTAGGGGCAGGGTAAAGGGACAGGCATTTCTTTTCCAGTCTTAAATGAAAAAGCATATTAGCAATTTAGCAAAAATGGCTCCTAAAGGCAACTGACTTCCTGTGTCAGGATGATAAAGAAGCTAAGAAGAGAAAATCATAATTGTTGTATCAAAACTGTTCTGCTGCTGCTTACTCATCTGTTAAAAATCATCAGTATTGGGAAGGGTTTTGACGGTGCCCTGCTGCTATGTCAGTGTAACACATGCTTCAGGCACTTGCATCCATACCACATTCCAGGTCATTGATCAGACTCAGCAGGCAAAATACCGAGAACTACATGACAAATTTTTGATTCACAGCTGGGACCAAAACTATGTATCATAGTAAATGAGTCAGTTAAACATCAGTAGTTTAGCAAGCATGAAGGAAAAAAAAAATACTGTGATACCATTCATGGTTCCTTCCAAGCTTGTATAGTGAATGAGTTAGCACACAGCTTTTGTTGTCTTCTATCGAGTCTAAAATAAAGATTTTTCTGTTTGTTTTATTTAAAGAATTTACTTGACTCTTGCATAAGTTAAGGCTATGATTTTTAGAAGAGGTTCTCAGGCAAAAACCAGATAATCTTCAGGGTTTTTTTCTGTCTCAGTTTTTGTGGTAAATGAAGGTTCCTGTAACAGGTGTTCTGAGCGGCTGTTAAGTTCATTATCATTCTGAGTCTGAGTTATGAAGTAATCCAGTTAGATTAACAAAGCTCAACTATATTAACTACTTTGCATTCAAAATAATATTTTTATTAAAAACTTCTGTGTGAGTTTTACAAAGAGAAGGGATGCAGCTATTCTTCTTCAGCTGAAAGGACTGAAAGTTATCAGGGAAAGTGTTTATTGTTAAATTTCAGTTCAAGTTTGCTTATACCTTTTGACTGCCTTAAGTATTTCAGAAGTGTTTATTTTTAAGGTACGTAACACATTTTCAATAGGAAGTACAAGTGGCGTAGAAACTACCCTGTGGTTTGAAATTTGTATTAACTTGATGTACGCAGAAATTTCCAAGTCCTTAAAGTATAAATAAGAAATGCAAACTCCTTTTGATGCTGTCAATCTAATTGGTTTACTAAATATAATAATAATATTCTGATCAGCTGAGCAGATCAGGTAAAGTGTGTGTGACTAGTCACTGAAGAAGGGTAAAATGGAGCAAGATGAAGGAGTTGGACTGGGGAATAATGAAACAACAAAGAACAAATACATAGGAAGAGAATTAACATAGAAGCATCTTAAAATGAGTCTTCCACGTGATCAGCTCTGTAATTGTGAAAATTATGAGATACTTCACATAGTAGTTCATGCCTGTAAAGACCAGGTACTGCCTCTAACTTTTCGTTATCTGATCTGATCTGATGGATGTAGTGAAGACTAAAGATAGCAGATTGCATATACATATGTCCTGATTTATGAGCTACAGATAGAAATTGATGTCTACTGTGTCAGTTATCCTAATGTGTAACTTCTCTTTTTTCTTTCTTTTTTTTTTTTTTTTTCCCCAGGGACAATTGGATTCTTTGCATGCTTTTGGTTTGTAACCAAAATATACAGCGTGGTGAAAGTTGACTGAAGAAACCCATGTAAAGAGTTAACACAGAAGAGGTCTAATCTTCATTAACATACCTTAAAGACCTGGTCTAGTTGATGAACTTGAGCTTTATCAGAAGTAATGGCTTCCTATTCTTTGAGAATGATACTGAATATGCAGCTGCCCCAAACACTTTTTCCACTAACACGTTTGTATTGTGACTTAACAACCTGTTTTCAGATCTTAATGAAGATCAGAGTTACTATATTTATGCATTTGTAAATACAACTATACTTCAACAGAAATGTTAAATTCTAATGGCAGAATAGAAGTGGCTGTATTACACAACTTAATGATACTTCTGATCAAAGTACAACTGTAAATAGGTTTTTCTAGCTTGGTAGGTGGGATGATTATTTTTCTTTGAGGGAAATGAGAACTTTTTATTGTAAGAACTTTGAAGAATGACTCCTAAGAAGTGTTGCTTTTAGTTTGGATGAGATTTTTATTTTTTACTGGTGTTACGTCCATAAATATTCTGATTTCTGTGACTTCATTAGTTTTGGTGTTCTTGGCCTTTTAAACTATGTGCCTCTGAGTCCTTGAGTTTATAAATTCATAATCTAATAAATATTGTAAAAATGTCTTCAGTGGCTCATTACATATTATAAGTTCATTAAGATATGTAAATACAATTATATTGAAGACAGATGCTTAAAGATTGCAGAGAATATTTTATGGCATTTTCTGTGGTTTAATGTATATTGACACACCCTTATATCTGCAAGACATGTTATTTGTGCTACATGGCTATAACACGAAATGTGATTGTGGCGCATGAGAATTAAATTATGCACACATTTAACAAAACCACTCTGCAGCATTAATTCAGTCCTTACCCCAGATACGTTTTCAGAGATTGCTATGGAATTGTCAGTATGTTGAGAAGATCTTGTAACGCACAAGTCGGCATTCTCTGCTGACCTTGCTTTTAAAAGATCTCAATGATGCATATTCTATACGGCAACTATTGCTGATTGTACTTAATGTAGGTTAAAAAATAAAAGAAAATTACTATTTTTGCCTTATATTAAGAGACTAATGTTGATTTTGGATGACTAGCATTAAACCTATATTTGGTTTTTTTGAAAATGGAGTATTTTGTTCATATCTTGTTTGGTAATTTGAGACTTGTAACACAATTTGGCTTTTGGCAAGTTTTCACGAGCCTGATAAAATTTCACTTAAAATTAAACTTCTTATACCAGTTGCCATTCATAAGGTTGGTGGGGGTTATTCTTAGCGTTTTACTTTTTAGGAAAGACCTTAACGTAATGATGCTTGAATAATGAACCCAATAAAAGTATCTTTGGTTAAGGTAACTTGTCATGATTAACCTCCTGAAAGTTGGCAGGTAAAAAGGCTTCAGGTGACATGTCCTCAATTGCTGTGCTCCACAGCCCCTCCAGATGAAGCACACCACGCTCACTGCTGATGCCCAGCCACAGCTCTGCTCAGATCTCGTGGACAGGTTTGTTCTTGTGCTCCTCCCCACATGCAGTCACTAGGAAATGCTGTTTTCAGATAAATCTTCCATCTTTTATGTTCAAAACAGGAAAAGGGCGAGTGTGGTAAGCGTTTGTTCTTCACTGTAGTGTGACTGTTGATTTACATTTTTTTTTTAAAGTATATTAAGGATATTCCATTTTATCTTTGGTTTTGTGATCATCTGCTGTGTGTGTAGTCACTGCTCAAAATCATCAATAGCTATTACACAAATGGGAATGCTTAGTTTGAGAAACACGAATCGGTTGTCTATTATTGAAATATTAATATAATAGGTGCTCAAGAATTTCAGTGTAGTGATAGGAAAACAGATTTTTTGTGATGTATTTACAACTGCTGTTTAAAAATTGGATTACTAGAAGTCAGATGTAGCCACTGTGGTATGTATATGAGTTTGAAACTGGTAGGTGTATTTCCCTTTTTTTTTTTCCCCCCCTACAGACTAGTTGACAAGTCATGGCAGCTTCTCAAGTATCTGATTTTCACCTTTAAAGGCAGTTTGTGAAGTATGTTGTTATCTTCTGGAATCTAAACCTGCTGCATACACAATTTTTTCAAGCAGCTTTGCCTTGTAATAATTGCAGCTGTTTTGGAATTTGACATGGTTAGGTTTCAGCGTGCAGTACTTGAGGCACTGCAGAAAGTTTAAGACATCACAGATTTTGTAGAAGAGCTATTCTAAAGTTGTTCCCTCCCCTGAAACACATAATTTTAAAAGTTTTTCTAGCATTTAAGCTTTTGGTGTGTGTTAGGGCACCCAAATGTTCTACTGTTGTTGTGGTTTAACCCCAGCCAGCAATGAAGCACTATGCAGCCGCTTGCTCACTTCCCCATGCTGGAACGGGGGAGAGAATTGTAAGGGTAAAAGTGAGAAAACTCACAGGTTGAGATAAAGGCAGTTTAATAGGGAAAGCAAAAGCTGCGCACACAAGCAAAGCAAAACAGGGAATTCATTCACAACTCCCCATGGGCAGGCAGGTGATCCACCATGTGAAATGGTTTCTTGGGAAGACAGACGCCGTACTCCAAAAGTCCCCCCCTTCCTCCTTCTTCCCCCCAGCTTTATATACCAAGCATGACACCGAATGGTATGGACTATCCCTGTGGCCAGCCCAGGTCAGCTGTCCTGGCTGTGTCCCTCCCAGCTCCCCGTGCACCCCCAGCCTGCTCGCTGGTGGGGCAGCATGAGAAGCCGGACAGTCCTTGACAGCTTAGCAACAACCCAAAACATCAGCACGTTATCAACATTTTCCTCATCCCAAATCCAACACATAGTCTCACACGAGCTTCTGTGAAGAAAATTAACCCCAGCTGAAACCAGGATAACTGTGTACTATATGTGTTCTTCAGATCTCTTGGGGAGGCCTGGGTTTTCATCTCAACTTTCAAAATACTGGCCTCTTCCAAAATCTTTCTATACTGGCAGACATTTTCTTAAAATGCACTGTTTGCATGGATATCTGAGAAACTGTAAATTTTAGGAAGGTTAGGAGGTAGGAATAAATTGCTGATCTGCGTGAAGACAGAGCAAATTTAGACTTCAGACCAGTGTCAGGTTTTTTTGGTGGCTGGTAAATAATTCAAAAACTGATTCTTCAGAGATTATAGACACTTTTTTCAGTCTCTAAATTTAATCTGAAAGTAATCCTTAGTCCAAATCGTGTTTTGAAAACATGATATAGGAGTTAGTAGTTTGGGGTTTTTTTTCTTTCTCTAAGAAAGAAAAAATAAAAAAGCAGCTTTATGGCAAGCTGCATCTCACGGCAAGCTACCTCGTCCATCTTTTGCTTGGTAGCGTCATTTCTTATTGAAATACTTAGCAGCTGTGTTTGAACAGCTGTTAAGAGTTCTTAGATTTTTGCTGTTGTACAGATAGTGTGTGCCCTCAGCAGCCAATCCTGACTGCGTTAGCAGTGCACAATAAATAAAAACTGAGGTTGTTTGGTGACTTACTGTTACTCGGCTGATAGAGGTCTTGACTTTTACAGGTAAGGAATAAGTCACATGAAAGTATGGTAAATCCTTAACAGCTGGTAGAAATTTTTGTATTTGATGGTTGATAAACATTGTCCCTTGTTGTTGTTACAATTGAAAGTTACTGTAGTGTTGGATTTAGTTTTCCTGCTCCAGCTACCCCAGACCTCAAACTGCATGAGCTGGAACTCTGATAAGCCTTAGCTGGTGTGGGTTACAGGTGACCTGAGACTTATGCCTGAAGTTACATGCCAGCCTCCTTCTGTGCTTTAGCAGTTTGTGCAACAGCTTCGTTTCTGGGGGCAGCTGTATCTCCTCTTCATACTTTTTCTTGAAAGTTACTGCTTCTGAAAGGATCTGTTCATCCAAATTAGTGCATTCTCAAATCCCTGCTTGCTCCCTTGGATTGATTACTACTCATCGTTTAGATAATGGTGCATATTCTGCAAAGAACAATTTCATCTCTGTGTTTACATCCCTGTTTTCCTTTCGGTTACTGTTCCTCCAAAAGTTCCTCTCACTTCTGATAATACTCCCAACTCTTGCTTTTGGAGCTCATCACAACTGAATGCTTTCTTACAGGAAAGACCATTACTTGTGCAGAGATGTTCTAGTCTTCTCCCAAATATAGTTTCCTACAGTTCACCTCTAATTTCATTTTTTTTATTCTTAGTATTCCATTGTTTCTCCTTATACCAGATAGTTAATAGCAATCTACTTATTTATGTATCTCTATAAAGCTGACTCCTGAAATATTTCTCCTATTACCTCATATATTGACGTTGGGTACATGTGCATACACAAGCATGTGACACTTCAGACTAAAGCATAAATCTTCAGGGACTACTGAGAGACTTAATATATCAGTTGATGATTGTGTAGCTGCTGTCATGCATTTTTTTTCTTATTTGAAACATCTGGAACTCCCTGTTGATGAGATGAGAGTAGTTAACTGCTCGTAAATCGGATAAGCCAGAAGATTACAAATGCAACCTGTCACATTTGGGCGATGGCACATTCTTGCTGCTTCTCAGGATCCCAGCACTTTCAATGAAAACACAGCTTAAATTCTTCCTTTCCGCAGAGGTATTTTAGCATCACCTGCTGGCTACAGCACGTATAAGCTTGGGACGTGTGGGAGCAGAGTTAAGGGTATGATAGGAAGGGTTACCAAAGCACACTACTTGGCCGGGGGCTTATCCTTAAAATTACATCTTCAAATATGGATGCTAATTTCAAAGTTTCTGGAAGTAGGCAGGCAAAAATCAAGGTGAAGAGCAGTAACAGTAATCATACACACAATTTACCCTGAAGATGTTAAAAATGTGTCTCCCATATCTAGTACGGGCACATGGCTAGCAAGGGTCCTTTAGCATGAACTGTATTTCAGATGTACAGGTTTCTGTTCTCACTTGGGCACCCACTCTGATACCTTCCAACAGTTTTTCTAAGTTCACTAAAAAAGAGATGCTTCGGGGGGAGCCCACAGAGTGTCCTGAAAGGCTGCCCAGCCTGGGCGGTGAGACGGGCCGAATGCCATTTCCCAGCTTCATACTTTCAGTAGTGTCAAGTCCTCGGTTTTTGAACAGTTCAGCACAACCATTGTTTTGCTACTGCTGGTGCTAGATTCTTGGGTTTGGGGGGGGGGGTGTTTGTTTGGGTTGGGGGTGTTTGTTTTCTTGGGTTTGGGTTGTTTGGGGTGTTTTTTGATCGATCATATCAAGTCAAGAAGACAGTAGACTTATTTTCAATTTTCTTCTCTATTGTTATTGGGTCTGGCTGAGATGGAGTTAATTTTCCCCGTAGCAGCCCTCACCGTGCTGTGCTGTGTACTGGTAGCTAGAAAGGTGTAGATCACACACCAGTGTTTTGGCTGTAGCTGAGCAGTGCTGGCACAGCATCGAGGCCGTCTCTCCAACATCCCCCCTCACCAGTAGGCTGGGGGTGGGCAAGACCTTGGGAGGGGACACAGCCAGGACAGCTGACCCAAAGTGGCCAAAGGGACATTCCATACCATGTGTCGTCAGCTCAGCAAAAAAAGCTGAGAAAGGAGGAGCCGCAGGGGTGTTTGGTTTTTTACAACTGTCTTCTGGAGCACCTGCTA